AAAAGTAGAGGAGACCAGCTTTCATAAGGTACCTTCAAATCAGGCGTATCTTTCATAGTTCCCGCACAGTGGTTCTCTGAATATAATGTCCCTTAAAATTATATATTTTTTTCAAAATTTTTTTTCTCAAAATTTCTGTGTCAGAAATTTCTGAAAAAACATTTTCTAAAAGTAGAGGAGACCAGCTTTCATACGGTACCTTCAGATCAGGCGTATCTTTTATAGATCCCGCACAGTGGTTCTCTGAATATAATGCCCCTTAAAATTATATTTTTTTTTTCAAAAAATTTTTTCTCAAAATTTCTGTGTCAGAAAATTTTGAAAAAAATATTTTCTAAAAGTAGAGGAGACCAGCTTTCATAAGGTACCTTCAAATCAGGCGTATCTTTTATAGATCCCGCACAGTGGTTCTCTGAATATAATGCCCCTTAAAATTATATTTTTTTTCAAAATTTTTTTCTCAAAATTTCTGTGTCAGAAAATTCTGAAAAAAATATTTTCTAAAAATAGAGGAGACAAGCTTTCATACGGTACCTTCAGATCAGGCGTATCTTTTATAGATCCCGCACAGTGGGTTAAAACATATATTGTTTTTTTCTCTTTATTTTTGACAATATTATTTGTTTTTTACAAATTTTTTTATCATAATACATCATAACTCATATTCACAAAATGAAAATATATTCTGAATATAATTTAAATATATATAATTTCGTAATAAATCAGAATTTATTTTCCGTGAATTCTGTTATACCGTATTACAAAACTGTTATACTGAACACAACCACACATACTGGTTTGTGTCTTTGCTAGTTAAAAACGAATTTATCTTCACGCACATGAATGACAATATGGAGGTTTTTTTCTTGTGTATGTAATTACTCTAATTGTTGCTGGCAAATGACAATTGATACACACCTGTCAATAGCAATGGCGCCAGCAGGGTATATGTGGTGGTTGAAAGGAGGAACGTGTAAACCTGTCGATAATTTTTAAGAATATTATTTTAAAGTGTAGATTTTTTTAAGAATATTTTTGGAGGACTTTACAAGGTGAGGATTTTTTAAACATATTTTTAGGGCTTCTGCACATGGCGTGGATTTTTTAAAGAATATTTTTGGAGAACTAACAAAAGACGCTAGGAGATTTTAATGCAAACATCGGAAGGGAAAATATTTTTGGCCCTACCGCCGGAAAATTCAGCCTTCATGAAGAAACAAGCAACGAGAAATCAAATTGATCATAGACGGAAGGCATTCATCCAGTTCGGACCACTACCTTGTAGCCTCCAAGGTTCGCACTCATCTTAATGTTGCAGCGAAGGTGAGATTTAACACAACACGGAAGCTTGACGTCGAAAAGCTGCCAACACAACAGATAGCCGAGGCCTACTCCGCTCATCTTACCCACCTGCTTGACGAAAGCACCCGATAATAATATAGAAGCACAATAACAAAGAATGGCCCACTCCCTACAAACTGCAGCAAAAGCAATACTTGGGTACCAAAAACCACCATCAAGAAACCCATGGTACGATCAGGAGTGTCGTAATACTACAGATGTGAAAAAGCGTTTAGGGCAACCCTGCATACAGAACCAACACGTAATGTGATGGAAAACTATCGGGAGAAAAGGAGAGAGGAGAAACGTGTTTTCAGAAAAAAAGAAGAAAGAACAAGGAAAACGTGAGCGTGGGCAAATCGAGATGTACAGGAGTCATAATGAAGTCCGGAAATTTTACCAAAGAGTAAAACACCAAACCGAAGGTTTTGGTGGTGCAGGCACATGCTCCTGTAGAGATGAAGAAGGAAACCTGGTGACAAATACAGACAGCGTGCTGAAGATCTGGAAGGAGCATTTTGAAAAGCTTTTGGTATCAAAACGAGATGGTGAAGAGGATACCCCAGAATCAATAAAAGATGACGGTATGGAGTGTATACCATCTAGCCAAGATGAGGTCAGAATAACAATCAATCGGCTGAAAAATAATAAAGCAGCAGGTGCCGGAAGCAGCAAGCCGAACTATTCAAGACTGGTGGTCAGATGATGATAAGGAGCATGCACCAGCTGATTAGCACAATTTGGCTAAAGGAATGCATGCCCAATGATTGGAACCTCAGCATCCAGGGTCCCGTGCACAAAAAAAAGGAGACAAGACGATATGTGCCAAATGTAGAGGAATTAGCCTTCTTCCCATCGCATATAAAGTGCTATTCAGTGTGCTGTGTGAACGATTGAAGCCAATGGTCAATGGCATTATTGGACCATACAAATGCGACTTCAGACCTGGCAAATCCACCATTGACCAGATTTTCACACTGCGCTAAATCCTGGAAAAGACCCACGAAAAATACATCGACATATTCCACTTATTCGTCGACTGCAAAGCCGCATTCGACAGCCCTATCCGTTCAGAGGTGTTTAAAGCCATGTCTGCGTTCGATATTCCTGCAAAATTAATACGGCTATGCAGGATAACTTTGAGTGTAACAAAGGACCTCTAGGAGCCCTTTAATACCGAACGAGGATACAGACAAGGTGAAAGTTTGAAGTGTGAACAGAAATGACACTCTGTACACCAAACAGCACATTTTACTCGCCTACGCCGATTACATAGATATAATGGGTCAAACATTGCGAGCGGTAGCAGCCACCTTTGAACAAATTGAGAAGGAATCTGCCAAAGTGGGTCTGGCAGTAAACGGCGACAAGACCAAGCTGATGATATCAACTCGCAAGACGTCCTGTAGACTCGGACCAACTGTGGAACTTGAAAACATAGCCTCGAGGTAGTTAAAGAATTCGTATGTCTTGGTACCGCCATAAATAAAACGAATGACATCAGTTTTGATTCGGAGAAGGATTTTGATGGCCAACAGATGCTACTATGGTCTAAGTAAGTAGTTCAGGAACAAGGTCATCTCCCGCCAGACCAAACTCACACAAGACGCTGATGCTACCCGTGCTTTTATATGGATCTGAAGCATGGGTACTTGCGCAATCAGATGAGCCAGCTCTTGGGGTGTTTGAAAGAAAATTTCTCCGAAAGATCTACGGGCCCATCGGCATCGAGAGAATGCCTAAGCTCAAAAGGCATATAAAAGCTAGCCTACTGATGGTTCCCGTCGAAGGGGAAGGCCACGAATTAGATGGAAAGACCATGTAGAAAACAACATCTTGGAACGTGGTCTTTGAAACTGGTGGAGTTTTTAAGGGCCTACACAAGGCGTAGATTTTTTAAAGAATATTTTTAAGGGTCTACACAAGGCGTAGATATTTTAAAGAATATTTTTAAGGGTCTACAGAAGGCGTAGATTTTTAAAGAATATTTTTAAGGGTCTACAGAAGGCGTAGATTTTTAAAGAATATTTTTAAGGGTCTACAGAAGGCGTAGATTTTTAAAGAATATTTTTAAGGGTCTACAGAAGGCGTAGATTTTTAAAGAATATTTTTAAGGGTCTACAGAAGGCGTAGATTTTTAAAGAATATTTTTAAGGGTCTACAGAAGGCGTAGATTTTTAAGAATATTTTTAAGGGTCTACAGAAGGCGTAGATTTTTAAAGAATATTTTTAAGGGTCTACAGAAGGCGTAGATTTTTAAAGAATATTTTTAAGGGTCTACAGAAGGCGTAGATTTTTAAAGAATATTTTTAAGGGTCTACAGAAGGCGTAGATTTTTAAAGAATATTTTTAAGGGTCTACAGAAGGCGTAGATTTTTAAAGAATATTTTTAAGGGTCTACAGAAGGCGTAGATTTTTAAAGAATATTTTTAAGGGTCTACAGAAGGCGTAGATTTTTAAAGAATATTTTTAAGGGTCTACAGAAGGCGTAGATTTTTAAAGAATATTTTTAAGGGTCTACAGAAGGCGTAGATTTTTAAAGAATATTTTTAAGGGTCTACAGAAGGCGTAGATTTTTAAAGAATATTTTTAAGGGTCTACAGAAGGCGTAGATTTTTAAAGAATATTTTTAAGGGTCTACAGAAGGCGTAGATTTTTAAAGAATATTTTTAAGGGTCTACAGAAGGCGTAGATTTTTAAAGAATATTTTTAAGGGTCTACAAGAAGGCGTAGATTTTTAAAGAATATTTTTAAGGGTCTACAGAAGGCGTAGATTTTTAAAGAATATTTTTAAGGGTCTACAGAAGGCGTAGATTTTTAAAGAATATTTTTAATTTGAGGCAATAATTTATTCAACTACACCTGAAATCAATCAAGTAGAATGTGCCATATAAAGGAGGAAGAAGGTTGGTTATTCTTTAAATATTTAACAGCTGTTCTTAAAGTGTTTATTTTACACACATTTAACCTTTTGATCCTTAGTCTGCATATCAACCCTCATTTTCTTTGAACCAACAACTGTTGATTAAAGGCAATCATTTGCACTGAGATATAAGCGAAAAAAAAAACAACAACAGAATATTAAATCATAAAACTTGGGTAGTCTTCGCTTAAATTCCGTGTCCCCCCGTTAACTTCTTTGTTATTACGGAAATGGGTTTTTGATTAAATTTTAGCTGCAGGAGAAGAAGAAAATGAAGAAGAGAAAAAAAACGATACAAAATCCAGATGATGATGTTTGCGAACATCAAAAGCACAGACTTGTAAACATTTATATTTTTTACAACAACAACAAAACAAAAATATTATTACTTGTCAGTTAAGCAATGTGAATTGGCTGGACCCCGGACCAAAAATTGGGAGAAGCATAAATAAAAATATGCAAGGCGAGAAAAAAACAACGGCAAAATATTTATCCAATTTGCACTGTGCTTTAGCCTAAGGAAGTAAAAACAGGTGAATTCAATTTGGGGTTTTGGTATAAGGTGGGTAGCAGGAAATAGAAAAAATAAAAAAACTCTTGGTTTAGGGTCCAAAATCGAGACCCTGGTTTCATCAATTAAAAATATTTTATGGAATTTTTAAAGTTTCCCCATCAAAACAATCGACCCTCTCTAATGTACATACGTATATGAAGTCAATGTTTTTTTCTGAAAAACATGACTGGTGTGATGTTACAGTTTTATGATGCTGATGATGCATGTGGATGGATTGGATGGGCAGCATTCAGTCAGTGGTGTTATCCTTATGACAAGTAAATTTTGTTATTAAAAAAAAAAAAAAATGAAACTCAACAGGCAAAATAAAATTTAACTAATTGATGTCATAAACGATATAGGTCCCTTAAAAAAATATTCTTTAAAAAATCCACGCCTTGTGTAGGTCCCTTAAAAAATATTCTTTAAAAAATCCACGCCTTGTGTAGGTCCCTTAAAAAATATTCTTTAAAAAATCCACGCCTTGTGTAGGTCCCTTAAAAAATATTCTTTAAAAAATCCACGCCTTGTGTAGGTCCCTTAAAAATATTCTTTAAAAAATCCACGCCTTGTGTAGGTCCCTTAAAAAATATTCTTTAAAAAATCCACGCCTTGTGTAGGTCCCTTAAAAAATATTCTTTAAAAAATCCACGCCTTGTGTAGGTCCCTTAAAAAAATATTCTTTAAAAAATCCACGCCTTGTGTAGGTCCCTTAAAAAATATTCTTTAAAAAATCCACGCCTTGTGTAGGTCCCTTAAAAAATCCACGCCTTGTGTAGGTGCCTTAAAAAATATTCTTTAAAAAATCCACGCCTTGTGTAGGTGCCTTAAAAAATATTCTTTAAAAAATCCACGCCTTGTGTAGGTGCCTTAAAAAATATTCTTTAAAAAATCCACGCCTTGTGTAGGTGCCTTAAAAAATATTCTTTAAAAAATCCACGCCTTGTGTAGGTGCCTTAAAAAATATTCTTTAAAAAATCCACGCCTTGTGTAGGTGCCTTAAAAAATATTCTTTAAAAAATCCACGCCTTGTGTAGGTGCCTTAAAAAATATTCTTTAAAAAATCCACGCCTTGTGTAGGTGCCTTAAAAAATATTCTTTAAAAAATCCACGCCTTGTGTAGGTGCCTTAAAAAATATTCTTTAAAAAATCCACGCCTTGTGTAGGTGCCTTAAAAAATATTCTTTAAAAAATCCACGCCTTGTGTAGGTGCCTTAAAAAATATTCTTTAAAAAATCCACGCCTTGTGTAGGTGCCTTAAAAAATATTCTTTAAAAAATCCACGCCTTGTGTAGGTGCCTTAAAAATATTCTTTAAAAAATCCACGCCTTGTGTAGGTGCCTTAAAAAATATTCATTAAAAAATCCACGCCTTGTGTAGATGCCTTAAAAAATATTCTTTAAAAAATCCACGCCTTGTGTAGGTGCCTTAAAAAATATTCTTTAAAAAATCCACGCCTTGTGTAGATGCCTTAAAAAATATTCTTTAAAAAATCTACGCCTTGTGTAGGTGCCTTAAAAAATATTCTTTAAAAAATCCACGCCTTGTGTAGGTGCCTTAACAAAATATTCTTTAAAAAATCCACGCCTAATATAGTTCCCACTATTTAAGGTTCTAAAAAATACTCCTTAAAAAATCGCCACTTTGCTCCTTGCTCCTTTAAAAAATATTCATTAATAATCGTTGAGAAATTATTTTAAAACTCTGAATTTTATTGTTGCTTATGTATCTGTCGGCCATTCCATTTAATGTTTTTTCTTTTACGCATAAAAATCCGTTACTTTCCGTATAATCATCACCATCCATATATAGAAATAATGAATTTGTTTTTAATGAGAACTTACACGTGTGTGCGGGCTCATCGTTACCTTTGAAGTTCTACTCTTATTATTTCGTTGCTAATGAGATACCTCCTGCTTTTCTAATTCAAACCACCCAGCCACCATAAAAGAATCATTATCGCCCATATGGATGGTTTTGATAAAAATGTGTTTTGTGAATTTTTTTTTGAAACAATGTCATATTTACTCTAGAATATTCCGCATTGAGTTCGTCGTCGTAGGGATATTATTTCTGTTTTTATTTTTTTCAAGTTCTGGGATATTATAATTCTCAATTACTAGATTTTATTTACTTTGCATAAAAGCCCAAGGGCGTAGTTAGTAAGGGGGAGTTTATCTAGTCCCTCCTAAAAAACCAAGGTAGACATTAATTCCTTGTCAAAATGATTTAAAATGTTCCAACTGCTCCCCTTTAGCTATGTTGTCTAGCTACGCCTCTGTCCACATTAAAATCAATTGTATAGCAACTTGCAAATGCTGTGATACGGAAGAAGAAGCAAACGGAAAGTAAAAGAAACATTTTATAAAATAAACATAATTTCCTATTCATTAAAATCATAACACAGAGATAGGGAGAGAGGCAGAAGTAGGTCCTTTTTCAGTCTGTATTAGAATTTACGGCAATTAAATAAAATAATTATCATGGGCACAATGTAATTTTGTAATAAATTGCAGTCTTAAAAGGAGCTATGAAATTCTATTATTTAAATATGCAGAACAAATCACAAATTCCAGAGATTTGGAAGTTCTTTACAAGTCGTGGATTTTTAAAAAAAAATGTTGGAGGTCCTTTACAAGTCGTGGATTTTTAAAAAAAATGTTGGAGGTCCTTTACAAGTCGTGGATTTTTAAAAAAAATGTTGGAGGTCCTTTACAAGTCGTGGATTTATTAAAAATATATTTTTAAGATTCCACACAAGGGCCTTCGAAAAAATATTGTTTTAAAAATCTACGTTCTATGGGCCTTCGAAAAAAAATTCTTTTAAAAATCTACGCTCTATGGGCCTTCGAAAAAATATTCTTTTAAAAATCTACGCTCTATGGGCCTACGAAAAAATATTATTTTAAAAATCTACGCTCTATGGGCCTACGAAAAAATATTCTTTTAAAAATCTACGCTCTATGGGCCTTCGAAAAATATTCTTTTAAAAATCTACGCTCTATGGGCTTTCGAAAAAATATTCTTTTAAAAATCTATGCTCTATGGGCCTTCGAAAAAAATATTCTTTTAAAAATCTACGCTCTATGGGCCTTCGAAAAAAATATTATTTTAAAAATCCGCGCTTTTTTATGCCACGCCTCTGTAGGTCTTTGAAAAAATATTCTTAAAAAATACACGCCTCTGTAGGTCCTTTTAAAAATCTACGGTCATTAGGTCGTTGAAAAAATATTTGTTGGACAATTTAACCATCTGTAGGTCATTGAGGTATCTGCTACAGCTCGCCTTTATTGAGGCTGCTTCTTCAGTTTGCCTGTAGAGCGTGTGTTCGCCTGTAAAGAGTTCCTTTTCAGCTCTCATCTAGAGGCTCAATCTAAGATTTGCTTGAAGAGGTTCTCTGCTTCAGTTCGCATGTAGATCTCTCTTAAACTCGGCAATAGAATCTACTAACTTCAGCTCCTCTATAGAGGCTCACTACTCCAACACTGCTTCAGAGACTTTCCCCTTCAGCTCGTATGTAGAGACTTCCTCTTCAGGTCGTCTATAAAGGTTCAGTCTTCTGTTCGCCTATAGGGGCTCAAATTTTCGCTCGACATTTGAGGACTCCTTCAGGTCGCCTATAGAGAATCCCAGTTTAGATTGGCTATATAAGTTCCCCGCTTCAGCTCGCTATAGAAACACATTGCCTATTAAGGCTTCCATTTATCTCGTCTATGGAGTGTCCGAGCATCAGCTCGGCTATAAATTTCAGCTATAGGGACTAGATTCGACAGCGGACATATGTAGACTCATTACGTCAGCGGTTTTATACCGTTATCTGTTTTAACTCGTCTATAGAAACTCAACTTTTTGCTCGCCTATAGAGGTTTCTTTACTTAGAATTTACAGCTCGATTAAAGAGGTACCCAATTTTTATAATTGTAGCAGCACTTTTGTTTTTGCACAATGGGCTGAGGTGACAGACGTTGGCCGAGTAAGACTAGGGTCGTTTCAGATCGCAGACTCCTCTGTCGTGAAAACGGCCAATATAGGTTGCCTGCTTCAGCTGCCCTATAACAGTTCCTTGTTTGAGCTCTCAAATAGAGGTTTTCTTCAGGTCACCAATCCCTCTTCAACTCATCAATGAAAGTTCCACGTTTTAGCATGCCTATAGATATTCCTAGTTTCAGATCTACCCTCACTATTTCACTTCGCTTATCGAGGATTCGGCTTCTGCTTGACAATAGAGGTTCGCTTTAACTCACATCCAGATACTCTCCTCCGATTTGCCTATAGATGCCTTCACCATACGTGGATTTTTTAATGACCTTCTCAAGTCATGAATTTTCTAGGGATTATTTTTTTCCACCACCCTCTACAGACGTAAATTTTTAAAGATTTTTTTAAGGGGACTCTAGAGACTCACAGCTTCTGTTCGAATATGTGGGGCACCTTCATATTGTGTATCAAATATCCCGATTTTGCACGCCAATAAGGGCTTCCTTCAGCTCGTATGTATTTGCTCTCTGCTTCACCTTCTGTAGAAGGTGCCTTCAATGCCTAACCACCCATCGTCACAGGCGGTGGTAAATATTCTTTTGGGCATAAAATAACAGCATCAGATTTTAGTGGGATTCTGCGGCATACACCCACACGGTGTTTGATAAAATTTTTTTCCACTCCACACTCAGCTCGCTTAAAGAGGCTCCCTGCTTCAGCTCGTTCCCTCGTAAACGTTCCTTGCTTCAGCTCGCCTATAGAGGCTCCCTGCTTCAGCTGGCCTATAGAGGCTCCCTGCTTCAGCTCGCCTATAAAGGCTCACTGCTTCAGCTCGCCTATAAAGGCTCCCTACAGCTCGTCTATAAAGGCTCCCTACAGCTCGTCTATAAAGGCTCCCTCCAGCACGCCTATAAAGGCTCTCTGCTTCAGCACGCTTATAATGGCTCCCTTCAGCTCGCCTATAAAGTCTCTCTGCTTCAGCACGCTTATAATGGCTCCCTTCAGCTCGCTTATAGAGGATCCCTCCAGCAGGCCTATAGAGGCTCCCTTCAGCTCGCTTCCTTCAGCTCTCCTATAGAGGCTCCCTTCAGCTCTCCTATAGATGCTCCCTTCAGGTCCCTACAGCTCGCCTATAAAGGCTCCTTTCAGCGTGTTTAAATAAAAAACCTGAAGCCTTTTAAATGTAAACATTTTAAAGCGGTTGTATCCCTCACCCAGGGACCAAAAATGAAGTGTACCTAACCACCCATCTTCACAGTTAGGTGGTGCTGGTAAATATCCTTTTGGGCAAAAAATAACA